GGGGGGGGGGGGGGGGGGGGGGGGGATACTGTTTCAAATAGCGACAAAAGTTCAGAATCGAACCCAAAATGGGCGCTCTGAAGAGCTTTTGATTGGGCTCATAATCTCTATCTATCATAGGCCCCTTGCTTCTCATAGGATGACTTAATTTTACAATTTTGACTGAATCTATAAAACAAAAGTTCTGGAGAGAACAGACACCAACTTACCAGAATTCGTTTGTTCCGGTCATGCAGATGATATAAATTTGAACTCTCAGTTTACTTAGATTTAAGATTCATGCATGATCTTAAATGAACTGAATGCGTATATAGTTAGTAAATGAATAGAAACAATTCAAAAGCAGCAAAATAAGGATATGCTTTAGATTTAGAAAATGAAATGCTATCCTTCAAAGTTCTACAAACTGAGGTCCGAGGATCAGCTAACAATTCCATTCACCTCGTAAACATAGCTAAACCCATCACGCCTTCAAGGCATCAGAACGAGGCCTCCATAGTCCAAGTCTGTACTTGTGAGTGTACTTCAATATCAGCTTCCTCTGCCACAGACATGAAAATTTAGGTCAACAAGCACCATTGTGAAGACATTATTCAGACCAATATTTGTTCTAAATCAAATACGAGATATCTATAAAAAAAATTCTCTTGCAAAAACTTGTATTCCTCAATAATCATGACTGAGATTTGAAGTCAGCAGTGAGGTATTGATAGACCCACTACTACTGATTAATTTAGCAGAAAGAGATCAGGGGGGAAACTAGCAGGTAACAGGTGTGATGTAAGTGTGGGACCCTTTCTGTACCAACAAACTTGAAAGCGGGAAAGGGGTGTGAATCCAGTAACTGTATAAGATAACTAAATGGGGGAATTGTAGATCTCTGTACACTTATGGAAATGAAGTGAGATCTGCAAGAATGGAAGCATTTTTTTTATGCATCTAACTGCGAATCTATAGAGTATCAAATAATTTTATTCTAGACAGATCTTACCCAAAGGGGTTGCATCTGATCCAGCTTCGACGATGGTAGGTACCATTAGACTAAGACTAGTAATTGCACATGTAACTTTCCTTGGTTTAGTTAAATTGGTGATAAAAAAAAATATTCAACATCCAAGATATGCATGTTATTTAACTAGCCATTTGTAATCAGATTTTCACTTCAATGCCACAAGCCAAATATTTCCTTGACACTATTCTTTTCTTTATAAGAAACTACGCTTTTATCAAGAGAACATGAAATAAAAACAAATATAAAAAGGGCCTACATAAAGGAAACGTAGCAAAAGGAGCCACAAAGCTAAATGTATAAAAGGTCTCCAATCCAAAACAATAAGAACTAGAGAGTAAGAACAAAACTTATTAAAAACCAAAGTCTATAAAGAGACGTTAAACCTAAGAAGTGGCCAAAACTCCTCTTATGAACTAAATATTAAATTCTTTCAAAAAAAAAAAAAAAAACTTCAAGAAACCCTTTTTTTAACAAACAAAGTTACACAGTCTACAAATTCTTACCGAACTAATAATCCCAGAACTAAAGAGCTGAAGAACAAAGTTATTTATTACATTTTAATATCAACGATCTGAAGTCTAATTAAAGCTATTCTATTGTGAAAACTAAAATATCAGTATAAAGTTCATAAAAGCTTGTGAATGAAACTTTAAACCCATTTTAATTAATTTAATTTCTTCACTATAGAAAAGTAAAATGTTTACATATTTCCAATTTTGAAAAGAGAAAACAATCCATAAATATCATATTTATATAAATATTAAAAATCGTGAAGAGGTAGTTTACGCTTTTAAGAGAATCTTAAAAGAAGCTATCGTTCTCCCTAATAACTCTCCAAAAGTAGAGTTATATCGAGTCATTTAGTTAATAATCTTGCACACACTCAACATTCTCTCCTTAGTTGTCTCATATACACTAATTAATTAGCATGAAATAGCTCATTATGGTCCAACATGAAAAGGTGATCAAAGTGCATAAATCTAGTCTACTTGTATGCTTAATCTATTTTATTTTACAGAGTAGCCAAACCATTATGCTAAAGCAAATCTAAAAGCAATTATGTTGGTGATGAAATGGCTGGACCAATATGTTGAACCATGTGCTGAAGCAACTCTTGAGGCAATTCATGTCGACAAGGACACGTGGGCCTTTAATTTGAAGCAACAAACCACGTGGATACTTAACAAACCAATAGGAGGCTACCTATGTGGATGACTAATCTTTTTTCAACCTTAAATGTGAGCAAGGAAGCCTATAAAAGGAAAGCTCCCAAAAAAAGAAAGGGGGAGAAAAAGAGAGGGAGCCACGGAAAGAAAGGTAGCATAAAGCAGAAGACACAAGAAAAGGGAAGCTAAAGGAATACAGGATAAGGAAGAGAGGAATAAGGAGACCAACTCGTGGAAGCTTCCATCAAAGAGCTGCAGCAGGAATCTTGATAACTCTCTTATTCTCCTTTCCTTCAATCGGTTATATGCTCTATGACTAAGATAGAACTTGTTGTATAAACAAATGAATATGTGGAGCTAAATTGTATACGTAAGGCAGGAGGTGTGGCTGTAGCTGAAGTATTCTGAATGTGTGATTTCTGTTTATTAAAGAGTTGTTATTAGTAAAAATTGTGTGTTTAGTTGGCCACTCTGCTCTCATAGTTGTTTCTCTTATCTGGAAAGATAGAGCACAAGTAAACCCCCCTTTAACACTCTAGTTCCATTGCAAGGCTTTCCTTAAGGTAATGGAAGGTTTAGACATAAGTCTTCTCCTAGAGCTTTTCTTTTAACATAAACTTTTGAAATGGTTATGGGCGTAACCAATATGCAAGACTCTCGGAAGGGGGCTTGAATATATGTTAAAAAGAGCAGAATTCACCATAAAATTTCAGCAACTTCTCTATTCCAACTCTCCTAGCCTAACCTCATTGTTGTTAAATGTCTCATTCACCCACTATTTGTGATAGCATAGTTATATTCTGAAATTCTTGATATTATACATGCATCAACACATCCACACTTGAACTCATCTAATTTCATAGCAATAGAAGTAACCAAAAAATAGGTTCCTTGAGAACTTGACACTCTACTTATTGCTTATTGCTGCGAGAGTGTATACTTGCACCAGCACTTGTGAATGCTTCTTTTTTTTAATCGTTTTGCTATAGACCTACACAAACTGTCACTCCCACCTCATTTATATATTCTTTATGTATAGTAATATCTAGAAAGAACTAAAAGACAGAATCGTGTGTGTCTTTTGGCAAACAAACAAAAGACCTGGTCCAACTCTTGTAACACGAGTTCAGTGGGAATCATTAAAGTGGCAGAAAAAAAATGAAAATACATTATAACGATTAGACTAGCTACCAAAAATTAACACCAAAAAAGTTATATGCAGAAGAAAGAAGGAACGCCCTTGGTTACTAGAGTTGCAACCTCCAGAAAGCTTATCAAATACAGGTTAATGAAGCCAATGCCTATCCCTTTAGTTATTTTGGCGATCAAACAAGTCTAAGTCTTGTACTTACAAAAACAATAATGAGAATCAGGCTAAGGAAATACTTACATGTTTGCATGGAATTCCGAGTTTTTTCAGCTTAAGTGTGCGTGTAACAAGCAGCTTCTGGAAGTCACCAATCTCTGATTCAAGTTTAGCCACGTGTGACTCAACCCCATGCCCAACACCATTTAAAAATTCTGGTATCCCGACCTTCACTAGAACATGAATGTCAAAAAATCAAGCGCATATATATCTTATCTTATTGACTCCAAATTCAGACACTTAGGCCCCATTTACTTCGACGGAATGGGAATCAAGGAATGGAAATGGAAATGGAAATGGAAATCCATTGATAGTATTTATGGAATGCGAAATTGGAACCAATAGGTGGGATACGCCACTAGTTCGGGAATCCCTAACCCATAAAAGAGGTACTCTCATCCCTCTCCTAAACCTTCATCAATCTCATTCCATCTATCGCATTTTCATTCTTTAGTTTGTTGTCCACCACCTTTCATTAACTACTTCACATCCTAATCCTTTCTATTTCATCTATAATGAGACCAACAACTTTTTTATTAATTATCTTATAATTTTTCTCTCTGATTTACATTATTTAACATCGATGGGTTTGTGATTCCAGTTCCAAATAACTCCTAGTAAACAACATGAAAAGAATAACATTCCGACTCCAATTGCTTTCATTTTGATTCCAAGTAAGTAAACAATTCTGATCACAGACACAAAAGGAAATCATAGCAACCAAGATGACTGGCAAGCAAGACAGAGATCACAATACTAGTTAAGCATAATATGACTTAGTGTACAGAAAATTAAGTAATACTTTTCAACTTTCGGAAATCTTAGATCATATTTTCTTCTCCCACTCCCATTTAATAGACAGTAAATTCATTAAGAAAATAAAGGTATTTTTCTAAGAAAACAAACTTTCATGGGGGAAAATGGGAGAATGTACAAGGATACACAAAAAAAAAAAGCTCATGAAAGGAATCATCAACTACGAGTCAATCCAAAGAATGATACCAAGCTGATAGTTATAAACAATCCAATTAACAGACACATAGAATGACCCATTACATCTCACATCCTCCCACATGAACACCTCCAGACCTCTCAACTATTTTAAAAATCTTGCAGTTCCTCTCAAACCACTCACAAAATTTCCAGACAACAAGCCTGCCATAAATTCATTTAACAAAGAGATAACAAATAAACTCCATTTCCTTGCCTATTCACATAACCATTCAGGAAACCATACATTCTTCCTCTCCTCTTTTTGGGTGACAACCAAAGTCAGTTTACTATCCATGTTCCAGAAACCAAATTAAGCATAAGGCTCATTACTTGAATTAAGATGAGAATAAAATTTTTGTAGAAATTAAGACAAATAAAGCACTTACCGACGTATGGGATAGATTTTGAAAAGAATCTAGCAAATAAAGGAGCTGAGTATGGTTGCAGTTTAGACCTATGGTTGGAGATAATCTGCCTCCATGCCATCCTTCTTGCTGTGGACAAAAATCCATCAGTCTCAAATCATATGCATTTTTTCAAGGTCCTAAAAGGTTTTAAGCTTTGACGTATCTTACAGGAAGTTTTGAAGTTCTGTAGGTTCATACTTTAAATTTAATTCAGAATGGTAATAAGTAGTATGAAATAACAAACGATCAGTGTATATGGATTAGAAAAGAAAATATTACCCTATCCAATTGCAACGAAGAAAAAAAATATTGAAGAGGTTAATAAACCAGATATCGGTCAATCGCCCAAATGTATTTTTAGCATTCACTTTTCATACCCACACCAAATGTAGATCTAACTGAAATCGCATCTCCAATTGATTCTACACTTCAAAAATAAAACCTCCAACGAACTCTATGAATTAACAGAATGCTTGTTCCACGCCACTAAATATCGACATCTAATTCGCTTTAAATTCAAAATAACACCACAAAGAGTAAGAATTTTTCTAGCCCCAAAAAATAAATCAGAACTTCTCCCTGAAGCCAATCCTTCATTCTGTTTTCAGTTGTTGTTTCATTTCTGCGTAAAATACACAATCCAGTTGTACTATATACTTTTTAACAGAAATATCAATATGAAACTGAACAGAAATATTGCTCAAATCTGCAAATGCTTCCCCATATACGAATTCTGTAATGGTAGCCAATACTCGAAAGGCCGACCACTATATCACACTAGGAAGTAGAAATTGATAGTCAAGAGAGCAGGAAATATCGAACAGCTTATCCCACCGCACCGAAATCGGTAGAAATTGGGATTTGATAGCTTAGAGTGGGAGAATCGACTGAACGCTTCCCAGGAAAAGAGAAACAGAGAGAAATATTTCACATCAAAACGGATTTACAATCATTTCCCTCCATTACGACTTAAAATCTTGTTTGGATTAAAAAAAAAATAATCGATCAGAATTTAGCAGGATTTCTAACTCAAAATTGAAGTCGTTACAAACGTAGCCTACTTAGAAGCTGATTGAACAGGAGAAACAAAAAATAGAACAGAACAGACCTCGACGGTGAGAGAACAATAGCTGAAGGGAATGCAGCAGAAGACAGTAGTTGGCGTGACAGTGAGAGGCTGAAGCAGCGTGGTGGTGGAGGCGTTCCGGCGAGTGGCAAAAATGGGAGATGGAAAGAAACAACGAAGATGAAGACGGGTAGGGTTTAAAGATTTTTTTTAAAAGAAAAGTAAATTCTTTTATCGTTCCCTTCTTATTTTCGGGGGGAAAAAAATGGTTGAATGGTATTAAAAATATATATATATATATTATTTTACAAAAATTCGGCGTCCTTAAGGGCACATCGCCTTATGTCTACCCTTCAGGGAAGGGCCTCCTCGCTGTCACATGGTCAGGTGTCTAGCTCTGATACCATTTGTAACGACCCATGGCACATCGCCTTGTGTCTACCCTTTAGGGAAGGGCCTCCTCGCTGTCACATGGTCAGGTGTCTGGCTCTAATACCATTTGTAACAACCCATGGCACATCGCCTTGTGTCTACCCTTCAGGGAAGGGCCTCCTCGCTGTCACATGGTCAGGTGTCTGGCTCTAATACCATTTGTAACAACCCATGGCACATCGCCTTGTGTCTACCCTTCAGGGAAGGGCCTCCTCGCTGTCACATGGTCAGGTGTCTGGCTCTAATACCATTTGTAACAACCCATGGCACATCGCCTTGTGTCTACCCTTCAGGGAAGGGCCTCCTCGCTGTCACATGGTCAGGTGTCTGGCTCTAATACCATTTGTAACAACCCATGGCACATCGCCTTGTGTCTACCCTTCAGGGAAGGGCCTCCTCGCTGTCACATGGTCAGGTGTCTGGCTCTAATACCATTTGTAACAACCCATGGCACATCGCCTTGTGTCTACCCTTCAGGGAAGGGCCTCCTCGCTGTCACATGGTCAGGTGTCTGGCTCTAATACCATTTGTAACAACCCATGGCACATCGCCTTGTGTCTACCCTTCAGGGAAGGGCCTCCTCGCTGTCACATGGTCAGGTGTCTGGCTCTAATACCATTTGTAACAACCCATGGCACATCGCCTTGTGTCTACCCTTCAGGGAAGGGCCTCCTCGCTGTCACATGGTCAGGTGTCTGGCTCTAATACCATTTGTAACAACCCATGGCACATCGCCTTGTGTCTACCCTTCAGGGAAGGGCCTCCTCGCTGTCACATGGTCAGGTGTCTGGCTCTAATACCATTTGTAACAACCCATGGCACATCGCCTTGTGTCTACCCTTCAGGGAAGGGCCTCCTCGCTGTCACATGGTCAGGTGTCTGGCTCTAATACCATTTGTAACAACCCATGGCACATCGCCTTGTGTCTACCCTTCAGGGAAGGGCCTCCTCGCTGTCACATGGTCAGGTGTCTGGCTCTAATACCATTTGTAACAACCCATGGCACATCGCCTTGTGTCTACCCTTCAGGGAAGGGCCTCCTCGCTGTCACATGGTCAGGTGTCTGGCTCTAATACCATTTGTAACAACCCATGGCACATCGCCTTGTGTCTACCCTTCAGGGAAGGGCCTCCTCGCTGTCACATGGTCAGGTGTCTGGCTCTAATACCATTTGTAACAACCCATGGCACATCGCCTTGTGTCTACCCTTCAGGGAAGGGCCTCCTCGCTGTCACATGGTCAGGTGTCTAGCTCTGATACCATTTGTAACGACCCAGGCCCACCGTTTGCGGATATTGTCCTCTTTGGGCTTTCCTTTTCAGGCTTCCCCTCGAGGCTTTAAAATTTGTTTGCTACAGGAAGGTTTCCACACCCTTATAAAGGGGGTCTTGTTCTTCTCCCCAACCAATGTGAGATATCACAATCCACCCCCTCCACGGTCCAACATTCTCGCTCACACTCTTTCTTTCCTCCAATCAATGTGGGAGCCCCGCCAAATCTACTCCCTTTGGGGCCTAGCGTCCTTACTGGCACATCATCTTGTGTCTACCCCCTTCGGGAAGCCCAACATTCTCCCTCGCACTCTTTCCTTCCTCCAATCAATGTGGGACTCCCCCCCACCAAAATCCACCCCCTTTGGGGCCTAGCGTCCTTACTGCACATCGTCTTGTGTCTACCCCCTTCAGGGAAGGACCTCCTCATTGGCACATGGTCAGGTGTCTGGCTCTGATACCATTTGTAACGACCCAGACCCAAGTCGATATTGTCCTCTTTGGGCTTTCCGTTACGCAGGGAAAGGTTTTCACATCTCCTCCCCAACCAATGTGGGACATCACAAAATCTATCCAAAAACTCATAATGTTCCATGAGACATTCCAAGAGTCATAAACATAATTAGCCACTATTTGATTTTTAATTCGGAAGTTTGAAATTAATGTCTAATGGTATAACGACTCAAGCTCACCGCTACCAGATATTGTCATCTTTGAGCTTTCCCTTTCGGGCTTCCCCTCAAGGCTTTAAAATTCATCTACTAGGAGAAGGTTTCCACACCCTTATAAATGGTGTTTTGTTCTCCTTCCCAACCAACGTGGGACTCTCACAAACAGAGCTCTAAGTATTAAAAAATTAAACTCATTTGAAATAACATATATCAACAAAACCCAATACATATTTCTCGACCAAAAGGTCAGACATTAAAAAATGGAGTCACTAAACTCGGGTTTCTTTTTAAAAAGGGAGTCACTTGCATATAACTCATCTCTAATTAAGATATTCTAGCTTGACCATAACCGACACAGAAAGACAGTGACCACTCAACTCATACGTCAATCATTAGTTCCCGAAGAGCATGGACCATCTATAATGGTCCACGACAAACGCTTTGATGTTTCATAGAAAAATAGGCAATAAGACTAAAGTCCATCTTGTAGGATGACTTGAATCACCTTCTTTCGATAATTTTGATAATTAATTACCTGAGCACACAATATACAACTATCACATAATTATTATGTTTATCGTACTTGTAATAGCCCGAAAATAAATGAATAAATAATAAAAATAAACAAATAAAAAAAATTACTAAAAAATGTCAAAATACTTAAATATATATATATATTATATATATAAATAAATAAACAGAAAAATGTCAGAGAAGATTTTGGTCGGTTATTACTGTAAATCTTATTCAAATTTTCTTTTCCTTTATATTTATTCTTACGTAAGTTAGAATTAGATATTCCGATATGCAATTAATTTTAGTTAGCAGTTTTATAAATCCATATCAGTAGCCAAAAGTCGATTAAAATTGACCAATAATATCTGTTTAGAAAATAAAAATAATTATGAAGATTGAGGGGAGAGAGGGAAGATTTGGTTAACCGAATTTAAAAATAAAATCGAAAATATCAGAAGGCAAGGAACTATATTAAATTTGGTCTAGTAACCATATATTCGTGCAACAATAATAAGATATTTAGTGAAAATAATATTTTATATATATATATATTTCAAGACTTTTAATAATGGACGAATGTAAATTACATAAATAATTTTATAGAGTTCGAATTTGAAATTGATGTCGTGGGCTTAGATAGAATCGAATTTTCATTAAGGATATATTGGTGACATCCCTAAGCTAATTAGGTAAGTGGTCTTACTATCGACATGGTTATATTTGATGTTGACACTGGTTCTGCACGTGTCATATAAACTGATATGTGTGAATTATCTGTGAATCGATATGCTTATATTATGTTATAATATGTGAATTGTATGATAATATTTACGATGTGATGTGTTCAATGATATGTTTGAGATATGATACGAGAAGGATGCACTAAACGTAATGTAACGATAGAAGTAAGATGTGTTCACGAAACGTTAAGGTTAGGTTACGTCTCGAAGTGCTATGGATATGAGAGATTGATAAAAGAATATGGTTAGAATATGGGTAGAAAGGGATGAGATGATGATAGATTGATAGAACGATAGAACGATAGCGTTAGAGTATGTTCATGTAACGATATGACTATGATAGGTATAAGAATGTTAAGGCTATGATAAGTTAAGGAACGATATGGCCACGAAGTGTTTATAATATGATATGATTATGATACGACATGTGAATGATGGATGTATATATATTGTGATATGATATGAAGACGATATGAATATGTTATGGTACGACATATGTGATAAATTGACATGTTTATGATATGATATATTGTGATGCGATATGTTATGGTGTGATATGTATATGATGAAAATTATTATGTCTGGAAGCATGGAATGTTATGATATGATACCCTTATGTAATTTGAATGATATGATAAACAACGAACTAGCATGAAATACAACCCCAGCGTATGCATGAAAGATATGATAAGTGATATGAAAAATGATATGAGATGTACGAAACGCTAGCGGGGTGATATTAAATGATAATGAAAATGAAAAAATGTTGGGACTTCATGCATTATCGTGTGCTCATGCATTGGGGGATACCCCTTAGCCTTTACGATAGTACGGAGGCGTACGTTACGAGGCAGGAATATGATCACTATGGTTATCATAATGCTGCGATGACTGAGCAGGAATACAATCATTATGTTTATCATGATGCTGCGATGATTAGGCAGGAGTACGATCATTATGGTTATCATAATGTTGCGATGACCGAGCAGGAATACGATCATTATGTTTATCATAATGTTGCGACAATCAGGCAGGGGTACGATCATTATGGTTAACCTAATGCTGCCGTGACGGTTACTAGTTCTAACGGGTGGCTGGCCTAAGGAGCTCCCGAAGTTCGCTCGCCTGACAAGGAAGGTGGCCCAGCGGTGTGTGAACTGATTGATGAGTCCATATTCGCACGTATGGATTATGTGTAGAGTATATGGTACACATCCAAATTACCCATTAAGATAGTATCGTAGGAAAATGGATTTAAATGATAGGTTTTGTGATGTCCCACATTGGTTGGGGAGGAGAACAAATCACCATTTATAAGGATGTGGAAACCTTCCCGTAGCAGACGCGTTTTAAAGCCTTGAGGGGAAGCCCGAAAGGGAAAGCCCAAAGAGGACAATATCTGCTAGCGGTGGATCTGGGCCGTTACAAATGGTATCAGAGCCAGACATCGTACGATGTGCCAGTAAGGATACTGGGCCCCAAAGGGGGGGTGGATTTGGGGGCGGTCCCATATCGATTGGAGGAAGGAAAGAGTGCCAGCGAGGACGCTGGGCCCGAAGGGGGGTGGATTTTGATGTCCCACATTGGTTGGAGA